CTGCTTTGCTTTATGTGAGCATTTTTGATTGCTTCACCTTTTGTAAGAGAAGGACTGGCAAAGCCAGAGAGAGAAATAAAAAGAGGGATCAGTTTAGTTGTTAAGGAGACACAAACTAAGCACAACCCCTACCCCTTTGAGTGCCATTTACCCTTGTCTAACTCTAACCATTGGCCATTAGTTGAAAAGAGTCCTGTGCATAGGCTTTTAGCAGTTAATCAGTTAATTTGAACCTTCACAGGTAAATCTGTGGATGCTTTTTTTGCCCAACATGTTCCTTTGTAGTTCAAAGCATGCTTGATTCATGCTCTCTGACAGATATCTAGCTCAGCCTTAGGGAAAGGTATTCCACCTGAGCAGAGCCCTATAGCATCTGCTTTCAGAATCAGAAAGCAGCCCTTGAACATTTAAATATGCAAGCCTGTCACCCTAAGGGCACATGCAAAAAGCATCCCTTCCACACAACTGTCAAGTGACGATCCTCATACATTTGGGATAGAGAATACTCTTGCAGCAATTAGAATTCCTAAGAAAACTGCTCTGAAGATTGTCTCAAAGACAAAACCATTAAAACAGCATACTGCAGGTTGTCCTTGACTTACAACCATTCATTTACTGACCAAAGTTACAATGGCACTCAAAAAAGCAACTTGTGACTGGTTCCCCTACTTATGATTACAGCATCCCTATAATCAAGTAATCAAAATTTAGGTGCTTGGCAATAGGCATGTATTTAACAGAATAAGAGTTGGAAGGGACCCTGGAGGTCCTCTAGTCCAGTGTTTTTCAACCTTTTTTGTGCAAAGGCACACTTTTTTCATGAAAAAAATCACAAGGCACACCACCATTAGAAAATGTTNATACATATGTTATATTTGTGCTGATAAATAAATAAAGGGAGACTAGTATAGATCTATTTCAAGCTATTTAGCTCTCATCAGCTAGCCATACCCTTGCTGGGAATCGAACCAGTCCAATATATGAATATATATATATGAATATATATATTCATACACACACATATATATACACACACACACACACAGACATACGTACGTACGTATGTATTGTATGTGAACAGAGTTGGTTCTGAGTATCCTTCATATTAGTCCACATCACAATAGCAGCATTAGTCATCTCTATCCCATTTATCAAATTTAAGCAATCCTTGTTGCTCGTTCTCCTTTTTGACAGGCATCCTTATTTATATTAAATCCTCCAGGTTTTTTTTAGGGAGAAGGGTCAGATAAGGAGAGGAAAGGATGCATCGGGGGCGCAGTTTTCCACCACCCAGGAGAAAAAGAAAGCTTGTCCATAGAAACCCTTAGCACAGGGGTCTCCAATCTTGACAACTTTTAAGCCTGGCGGACTTCAAGTCCCAGGATTCCCCAGCCAGCTGGCTCCACCAGGCTTAAAGTTGCCATAGTTGGAGACCCCTGCCCTAGCAGGTGAAGAGATTTAGAATGAAATAGAATGCTTTATTGGTCCAGTGTGATTAGACACACAAGGAATTTGTCTAATAGAGAAATAAATGCTTGTTTAATAGAGTCTCTGCTGGGGTCATTTTCCCTCCTGGCTAAACATTGAAGCACCCAGACCAATCATGGTCCCCCCCGCTTCCCAAGCAATGTTGTTCAGGATGCTTCACGGTAGAAATCGAACTGTTAGTAACAGGGTTATTTTTAATGTTCCATTGCTGTAGGAAATGTCTTGCCCTTCTTGGGTGGTTTGAAAAGCTGCAACTGCTCCCCCCATAAAATTACAGGTAACCCTTGACGTATAGCAGTTTGCTTAGTAGCCGTTCAAAGTTACAACTGCACTGAAAAAAGTGACATGACCCATTTTTCACAGTTAACGACCTTTCCAGCATCCCCATGATCATGTGATCAAAATTCAGATGCCTATCAACTGACTCATACTTAGGATTGTGTTGCTGTGTCCCAAGATCACATGATCCCCTTCTGCGACCTGCTGAAAAGTCAATGGGGAAGCCAGATTCATTTCACAGCAGGTTTACTATCAACTGCAGTGATTTTACTTAACAACTGAGGCCGGAAAGGGCATAAAATGGGACATAATTCATTGAACAAATGTCTCACTTAAGAACAGAAATTTTGGGTTCAATTGTCATAACTCAAGGACTACCTGTAGTTTATTGCTGCCAGCTATATTTTTAATTTTGGAAGATTTTTCCTAACACTTTTCCTGAGTAAAGAGAAAAAAGTTGTTTCTTTGCAGGCTTTTATTGCATCTTAGTAAACATACATATCAGACCTGGCTGGGTTGAAGTGTGTTATAAGAATGCTTTGCTATTATTTTTCAAGCCTTTTGTGATGTTCTTGGAAGTGCATATGGGCAAGCAGTTGGTAGGTTCCCCCCCCCAAAAAACTTGGCAGTTTTCTCTGCCTAGCAGGGCAAGTGTAATTGTGGTTTGGCATAAAAGGATGTGATTATGTGTATTCCACTTAAAGGTGAAGACAGTCTGTCTTACTGCAGAATTGATTGGAATAATTTGCTTCTGAATGCCTTATTTGTCAAGTAGACTTGCTTGTATCAATTCTTGGAAAATTTCTGGTTTTAACTGGATCTTTAAAGAAATGGCATCCTTTAAGACTACGCTTGATTAGTGTTAATTTTAAAATGTGAGAGGTTGATTCAGATGTTGTAATTTGTTATTTCTGGTGTTAGATTAGGGAAGATGAGAAGGAACATCTAACGTCTTAGCAAAAAAGAAAATGAAATCGTAATTGATGACATTAGCAATGGGTGTCATTTAATAAAATTTTATTTGCAAAAGTAGACAAGGAAAAATGGCAGAAAACCGTAATTACTGTACTCTGTTCCATCCATGGGCAGTTAGTTTCATTGTTTTAATTGTTGAGAGATATTTTTGGGTGAAGATTTGAATCTCTGTTCATAAAATCACCCTGTCATCTTCTCTTTCTGGAATTCACAGGGAGAGAGCTTTGAGACAAGTTGACTACCATAGGAAATAGTGTGTTGGTTTAATCATACCTCATTCTTGCAATTCTTCACTTCATGGGAATAATTTATATACCCACCTTGAGTAGTCAGTTAATTAGAAAGGCAAGGTTTAAATCAAATTACTTTTTAAAAATAGAGTGCTTAGGGTATGTTACAAGTTATATCAAGACTGAAATCCTAAGTGCCTTTAAACAAGCCCTTAAGGATTACACATGTTTACATCTGTCATATGTTCTAATTAAGGATAAGCAACACTGCAACTTCTGAATGAATAATAGGAATTAAATGTGCATTATTTTTTTAAAAAAATTGAAGCCTAGACTGGGGGTACTGGGATAATTTAATATTATAAAAGATTATTTAGAGATGTTGAGACCATCTAGTTGGTGGTATATTTGTTTGAAAATGTAGGTGTCAGAAGTTTCCCCCACTTGCCTCTATTTTTCAAGTAGTCCACCAAATGGTTAGAAAGTAACAGTCAAAGGCCCACTCTGGAAATGTTTCCCATACCCCAGATGTGTTATAACCAACTTATTTACATACACAAAATGTACTTAAGGATTTGATGTGTGAAACAACTATCGTCTTTTCTGCTTTCAGCATTAACTTTGTGTTTCTAAATGTATATATTTTATATAGAGATATTGATGAAAGTTTTGATTTAATATCTGATTGATCCAAAAACTTATAGAAACTGAGACTTTAAATCAGCATCATGAGATCTTTGGGGCTATGATTTTTGTTATCCTTAGATACAACAAGTACCGGNCTTGGAAGTCAGCTGGAAGCTGCAAATGGTGATCATGTGACCCTGGGATGCCACAACTGTTGTAAATATATGCTAGTTGCCAAACACCCAAATTGTGATCACATGACCATGGGGATGTCTATGGAGATTCTCAGTCATCCAGGTCATGGTTGTCCCAAAGCTGCTTTTTCAAGAGGCAACTGGACTTTCTGGTTTTTCTTTGAAGATGCTTCACTTCTCATCCAAGAAGCTTCTTCAGACCTGAAGAAGAGCTGAGGAAGCTTTTTGGATGTGAAGCAAAACGTCTTCAAAGCAAAACCAGAAAGTCCAGTTGCCTTTTGAAAAAGCACCTTCGGGACGACCATGGGGATGCTGTGATGGTCAGACGTGCAAGGACCAGTCATAAGTCATTATTTTCAGTGCTGTTGCATCTTCAAATGGTTGCTGAAAGAATGGTTGCAAATCAAGGACTACCAGTAAAAGTTGTATGATTGTTTAAATTTTTGTAGTCTGATGTTCATTAAAAAGAATAAAATCCCAAATGAAATTTACTATCTTGATTGAAGGCAAATATATGTGTCCCAGGATAATGTTGCAGGATCCAATCTAGGTTGGTCACTGGTAACAGAGGTTTTGTCTTCTGAGCTTTTGGACTCATGCTGGAGCTCATCTTCACGGAATTTCTCTCTACCAGAGTGTGTGCTGTTCAGATTGAATCCTACAGAAATTTACTATATAAACAAATGGATCATTTCCCCAACTGACTGTTGTGTCATTTCAGCTATTTAGGGAAGAGATCTATGTTTCTCCCTTTTCACTCATTTGATCTGAGGATTAATTAACAAAAGAGGACCATGTCTCATTCCTACACCAAACTTTTAAAAATGTAAACAGGGGCAAACCACTGGACAGTCCAAAGAATCAGGAATCAAATCAAACAAAATTAAAATAAAATTTAAAATAAATGCTAAAATAATAAAAAATAACCCTGTTACTTTTAACAAGAGCTCTGAAGGAGCATGATGTCATTAGGAAGCATCAGGGAACATTTCAGGGATTCCCTTCAGGAATTGCTCATTTAAGATGTTTTTAATGGCCTTTTTTCTGTTCTTTTCTGAAATGGAGGACCACCTAGTGATGTAATCATGTCCCTCATCAAGGAGGATTGTTCAGTTTTGGAACCTGGAGGTTTTCCAATATTTATTTATTTATATCTCAGTTAATTTTCTATCTCCTTCCTCCCCTCCTCTCTCTTTCTGTCTAGTAGACTGGTGATGGTGTAAATGATGCCCCGGCTCTGAAGAAAGCTGAAATTGGGATTGCCATGGGCTCTGGCACTGCAGTGGCCAAGACAGCCTCTGAAATGGTGTTGGCAGATGATAACTTCTCCACTATTGTGGCTGCGGTGGAGGAAGGCCGGGCCATCTACAACAACATGAAACAATTCATTCGCTACCTCATCTCCTCTAACGTGGGTGAGGTTGTCTGGTAAGGGGCTTCGCCCTTTGTCACCTGACCAGCTTCAAAGCTAAACTAGGTTGTCTGGAAAACAGTTTTGCAGAGGAACAAATCAATACCAAGTAACTATGTAGTAAATATTCCTGCCTTCCAGAGGCTTCTTTGATCTCATGCTTTTCTTTCTTCTCTGCATCTCCCCATTCCAGTATCTTCCTTACAGCTGCCCTTGGTCTCCCTGAAGCCTTGATCCCTGTACAGCTGCTGTGGGTGAACCTGGTGACCGATGGGCTTCCAGCCACTGCCTTGGGTTTTAACCCCCCTGATTTGGACATCATGAACAAGCCCCCTCGCAGCCCCAAGGAACCCCTGATTAGCGGTTGGCTCTTCTTCCGCTACATGGCCATTGGTAGTAAGTGCTTTCCTCCCATAGCTGATGCCTTGGTCTAGCTTTGGACCTATATCATATATTTTGGCCCTATATTCTAATTGTGAATTCAAGTCTTATCCTTGTCTTATGTGCTAACAGTAATAGCTCAGCCATCTGTATCATCTCCAAAATCCCAGGCAAGCACAAATCTTCTGCAGGACCCAGCCTGGCACAATTAGGCTACCTTTGGTTTATTCTTCAATCAGTTGCATGTTGTTCATATTTATTATTATATGTTTGCAAACAGAGCCATTAGGCTAGGGCAAAATATGCATTCACCAAATAAATAATGGCAATAGCACTTAGACTTATAAACTTATACTTTACAGCACTCGCTAAGTGGTTTACAGAGTCAACATACCGACCTTGGAAGGATGGAAGGCTGAGTCAACCTTGAGTCGGTGAGGATCGAACTCCTGGCAGTGAGTTGAATTAGCCTGCAATACTGCATTCTAACCACTATGCCATCATGGCACAAGGAAGAAACCAACCCCGTCCTTTCATTTCAGTTTCTCAGCAGTCATCCTTTTTTAAATTTAAAGATTTTATTGATTTTCTGTTGTTTACATTTTGTTAGTGCTTAATAAACATTGTGTTGTCTGTGTTATTTAATTTACTTAACAATACAGATTACATTCTTAATCTCCACCTCTTTTTTCCAACCACTGGTAAAATAAAGTCCATATTTGATAATATTCTGTGTCTTCTTTCTATTTAATCTTCAGCGCAAGTCTGTCCATTTCTGCACAATCTAGTATCTTCCTAATTATCTCTTCGTCTTGTGGTGTTTCTTCATTTTTCCAATATTGTGCAAATATAATCCTCGCTGCTGTTAAGACATGCAATATTAAATATATACTTTGCTTATCAAGTTTTTCTGATGTTATACCTAATAAAAACAGTTCAGGTTTAAAATCTACATGTTTTCCTATCATCTTTTCTAACCACTTATGTATTTTTGCCCTTTTTTTTTTGCTTTAACACAAGTCCACCACATATGATATGTACCCATTTTTTGGTTACATTTCCAACATTTGCTAGACATATTTTAAACATTTTAGCTAACCTAGCAGGTGTTAAGTGCCATCTATAAAACATTTTATATAAATTGTCTTTATAAGACGTTGCCATTGTCAATTTATAGTTTATTTCCCATAAGTTTTTCCATTTCTCTAATTCTATATTATAACCAAAGTTTTTTACTTGTTCATCCTACATTTTCCAGTTTAGTGAAAAATTATACATTTTCTTAATTAATTTTTCATCAGAGTTCAACAATATCTGATCAAAGACTGATTGTCCTTTATAAAAGCCATACTTTTTCATGTCTTTATCATATTTAGATTGTATTTGCAATTGAGCCCACCATGATAATATAATACCCTGGTCTTCAAGCTCTTGCTTAGATTTTAATTTCCCTTCAGTGTCCAAAATATCTTTATATGTCACAATTTTTTCAAACTTCAGCAGATTTGGATATGTAAAGGCTTCCGTCATTGAGAGCCATTCTGGGATTTTCAAATAAATCTTAGGTTTTATTTTTCTCCATACAGATAATAGTGAGTTTCTTATTTAGTGATTTTGAAAGTATCTGTGAATTTTATTCTCGTACCATAAGAAGGGGTGCCATCCCAGTTGTAAATCATGTCCTTCTAAATATAACAATCTCTTATGCCTGAGGGTTATCCATTCTTTTAGCCATGTTATCACACATGTTTGGTAATATAAAAGCATCTGGTAATCCAAATCCTCCATTCTCTTTAGATTCTTGTAACATTTTCAATTTAATTCTCGTTTTTTTTCCTTGCCAGATAAATTTCAGGATCAGTTTATTCAAATCATCAAAGAATTTCTTTTCAATTTTTAGAGATGCTGTTTGGAACAGGAAAAGCAATTTTGGTAGAATATTCATTTTTACAGTAGCAATCCTTCCCAACACTGATAGATGGAGATTTTTCCATTTTTCCAAATCTAATTATATTTGCTTGAATAATTTTATATAGTTGTCTTATTTTATCATTGCACATCTTGCTGTTAAGTATATTACCAAGTATTTAACTTTCTTAACTATTTGCAAACCCACTTTTTCTGCCAATTGTTCTTTTTGTTTTTGTGTAAGGTTTTTGACTATAACTTTAGTTTTTTCTCTATTTATTTTCAATCTGCTACCTCTCCAAACTACTCTATCTTTTTTAATAGTTTATGAATTGTCTCCAATGGTTCTTCTACAATAAATGCCACATTGTCTCCAAATGCTTGTAATTTATATCTTTCCTCTTATCTCCATTCCTTTAATTTCTGGATCTTGTCTAATATTCCTGTTCAAGACTTCCAAAGTCAATATAAATAGTAAAGGTGATAGTGGACATCCTTGTCTTGTTCCTTTCTTTATATTGAAATTCTCTGTGTAATCCCCATTTATAATTACTTTGGTTGTTTATAGTATATTGTCTTAATTACATTTATACATTTTCCTCCAAAATCCATACAGTTTAGTTGATGTGTTATAAATTGCCAGCTTACATTATCAAAGGCTTTCTGAGCACCTAAAAAGATTAGTGCCATTTGTTTTCCTGGGTGCATTTTGTAGTATTCTAATGTATCTAAGATAATCCTTAAATTGTGTTTTATTTGTCTTTTGGGTAAGAAACCATTTTGATCTGGGTGGATAAATTCAGTCAGAATTTTTTTCAATCTCTCTGCTATTATTGAAGTAAAGATTTTATAGTCTACATTTAATAAAGATATTAGTCTAAATTTTTTTATCTGTGTCAGATCTACATCCTTTTTTTGGTATTAACTTAATGTTCACTTCTGTCCATGTATTGGGTAGTTTAGCTTCAAATAATAGCTCATTACAAACTTCCTTCAGTAGTAAGCTTAATGTGTCTGAAAAGCATTTGTAGAATTCTGCCAGTAGCCCATCTGGGCCTGGGGTTTTATCGTTTTTCTGTCTTTTTATCACTTCTGTTAGCTCCCACATTGTTATTTTTTCATTTACTGTATTTTTAAGATTTTCCGGAACTTTGGGTAGATTAGCTTCTTCCATATATTGTGTTATTTTTTCCATAGATTTATTTTCTATATCGTATAGCTTTTCATAATATTCTTTGACTATTTTTTTATTGTTTCATTTTGGAATTGTATGTGTCCCTGCTCATCTTGCAGTTTATTTAACACCTTTTCCTCTCTTTCTTTTTTCAGTTTATATGCCAGCCTTCTTCCTGGTTTATTTGCATTCTCAAAAAAAAAAATGTTTTGCCCTTTTGGTTTGTTGGGCTATTTCTTCTGTGACTATTAAGTTCAATTTGTGTTTAATTATCTCAATGTTTCTTTTCTTTTTTTAAAGAATAAATTTTGCCGCTCCGTTGCGACGCTTCTGGGTTCTCCCGTCTCCATTTTTCTTTTAAGTATTTTTTGGGGGTCTCTTTGGAGTTCTAACTCCAATTTCTTATACTCTTCTTTTAACATCACACCCTGTTGTTTTTTCTCTTTATTCTTTTTAGCCATATAGGTTATAGCTAATCCTCTGAAGCATGTTTTGGCTGTATCCCATACATTCTGGAGTGAAGTAGCTTCTCTTTTATTTTCTTTAAAGAATAATTCAATTTCCTTTGCTACAGGTTCTGTAAATTCTTTCTCTCTCAATATGGATTGGTTCAATGTCTACATAAAATTCTTCTTTACTCTTCTCCAAGTCAATTTTACTGGGTTATGGTCAGCCCAAATGCTAGGTTCTATCTCCACCTCAAGTATGTTGATTTTTAATTCAGGGGACATCCGTATCATATCAATTCTAGACCATGATTTGTGTCTGTTTGAATAGAATGTGTACAGAGTCTTTTTCGAATTTATTTCTCTCCAGACATCCTGTATACAAATTTCTTATGTCATTTTGAAAAATGTCTTAGGTAATCTCTTTCTTCCTTTCCCCCCTATTTTAGTGCTTTTATAATCTAGTTTTCCATCCACAATTGCATTGAAGTCTCCTATGAGACAAATATTTTGATATTCCATTTCCATTATTTTCTTGTGTAATGCTTGGTAAAAAATTTCTTGCTTGTTATTTGGTGCATATATTGCTATTATCAATGTCTTTTTTTGGTTAATCATTGTTTCTACCATCAAGATTCTTCATTCTTCGTCTGAATAGACCTGTTTTGAGTCCATTGATTCTTCAATACATAAGGCTACTCCTCTTTTTGTTGTTGTTGTTGTGCTGATGTAAAATATACTTTCCAAATTTTTGGACATTCTAGGAGTTTCTAGTGTTGTTTCTTTATGTGTGTTTCTTGCAGACAAATTATTTCTGTTTCCAATTTTCGTAGTTGTGTAAAGATTTTTCTTTTTTTGGAAGGGGAATTTAGTCCATTTATATTCATTGAGAGGATCCCATTTTCTTCCTCCATTTTGCTTAGTTGTATTTAGGGTTTCATTTCCTAGTAGTTCTTTTCTGTCTTTGTTCTTTTATTAGTCCCTCTTCTTCTTGGTCTGTATTTTCTTTTTCTTTCTCTTCTTCTTTGCTTTGTATCACTGTCTCTTCTGTTGCTATTTCTCCATGTTTTTTGAGTTCTTTAACTGCTTGTGTACTTTGTTTCCCCCTTCAAAAATGCAGTCATTTTTGAGGAGATACTCCTTTCTGCTATCACTGGCCTTTTCTTTGCTCATAATAATTTTAACATGTTTGTTTTGCCTACAGTATACGTCGGAGCGGCCACTGTTGGGGCTGCTGCCTGGTGGTTCATATATGCTGAGGATGGACCTGGAGTGTCTTACCATCAGTTGGTGAGTTACAGATTGCTCTAAATTGCGGGAGACAAGAACAGTAGTATTCTACAAGGAATGAAGGATTTCTTAATTTGGAAAAGTCCTGTTCAGTCTTAATCTTGCTTTTCCTCATTCTTTTTTTCTTCTCCTAGTCCCATTTCATGCAATGTACAGATGACCACCCTTCCTTTGACGGCTTGCACTGTGAGATCTTTGAGTCCTCTGTCCCCATGACTATGGCTTTGTCCGTCTTGGTGACCATTGAGATGTGTAATGCACTGAACAGGTAAAATAGTGGATGATGGCTTCATATACATGGTACACAGGGGTGGTTTCTGGCAGGCACTACTGCCAGTTTGCTCATGTGCACGCTTCACGCACGGGCATGCACAGTGCAATTAAAATTGTTCTGCGCATGTGCAGAACTGAAAAACAAGATGGCGCCGCCTATGGCACAGCCTGGAGAACCAATTCAGGGGCGTGGCAGGCCTGGGTCGCTGCCAGGTCCAACGACCCAGGCTGCAAAACTACTACTGGTTCATCTGAACCGGTCTGAACCGGTAGGAACCCACCACTGATGGTAATGCCTTGCACATTTTTCACTAGCATTTCTCCATGCTTTTTTCCTACCTTGTGCAAATCTTATGCTTTCTTCAGCTTTCGAAATTGTGCAGGATGATGGGGAAGGACAAATTCATGTACTCTCTAAAGATAATTCAAAGTCCATGTCAACAAAAAATGAATATTAGAGATTCAGTTTTAATTCAGCTTTTTTGCAATGTGAAAAAACTTATATTTCAAGTTAACT